GTTATTACAAGATGTTGAATATGGTTCCTTGTACTGTACAGAAGAGTATTTGTTTTCATCTATTTTTATATATAGTGGTTAGTAGCCAGTGGTTTGTGAAAAAGAAAGGCACTTCAAATATACATATATGCATAGGATTTCCTTCTTGCCGTGGACAAGTCGGGATAAACACATTTAGCTGTGGGCAGGTCTCCCAGGATGGTTATGGGAACCAGAGCCAGTTCGCAGGGGTCTGATCCTCTGGACCTGCCAGGCTGAGGCCCACACTGGGGTCCTGTGGTGCTGGCCACAAGGCCAGCCCCCCGCCAGCCTCACCCACGTCGAGCCTGCACAGAGCCGGGCCGAATCCGGGCTCCCGAGGGAGGATCCTGCATCTCGCCAGCAGAGGCTTGTCCTCTTAAGCCCTAAAATACAACTCCTCACATGATCGGGTCATGACTGTGGCGTCCCGGTGGGGCTCACAGCTCCCAGAGCACGGGCAGCACCAGCCCCTGTGTCCCAGCCACAGAGGCCAGCGGGGCACCCACGCACCTGTCCTGGCACCCGTGCACCTGTCCGGGCAGAGGATGGACGAGGGGGAGAAGAGGCCCCTGCTGTCCCAGGTAAGCAGTGCCAGGGCCCTGGAGGGCTCTCTGGGCAGCTCAGAAGGCTGTGGGAGGAGGCCTGGGGCAGGGCGGAGGGGCTGGAGGCAGATCTGATGTAGAGACTGTCCCTCAAGGGGGCAAGTGGAAAGGGCTTCAAGCTTCTCCGAACCTCACGATCAGTGAGCCACTCTTCTGTCGGGAGCCTAGAGGGAGGGTGGGCCCCCAACATTCAGCACCCTTACTCTTCTCCTTGCTGAGGCCAGGGCCCCCGAGCCTGGGCTAAGTCCCTTGGAAGGCCCTGCACCCCAGACCAGGTTTGGCTGCTCCTCCCCTGCCCCAGGACCCCCTCACTGCCTGGCCCAGCACAGGTCTGCACTCACTTAGTAGGGCTGAGCTGCTCCTGGGACATGGGGCTGGATCACAGGAGGAGGCAGAAAGGGCAGGCCCCTGGGCTGGCCCCTCTGCCTGGTGGGCCCCCCTCCTGGCCCGCATGCAGAAGCCCCTCTCGTGACGACGTGTGCAGACCGACCCACACAGATGCATTCCAAACTCCCAGACTCAGGGGCAGCGGCCCCACCTGCCTGATGACTGTCCTGCAGGATAGTCGGGGGCCCTGACCCGCACCCTCCATCACACGGCAGGAGGGAGAGGCGTGCCTTTGTGGTGGTCCTTTTTCCTACCACAGACTTGCAGGCAGCTGTTGACCCCTGCTGTAAGGGAGCTAGGACCCTCACCATCCCCTCTGCTGCCTGGCCTATAGGCTGCCATGACCCTGGCATGGCAGAGTCTCTGAGTGCCCCCCCCCCGCCTCCACCGTCCAGTCCAGCTTCCTCCCCAACAGACTCTGACATCCCTCCATGAGGTCTCCTCCCTGCTGACTGTCACATGGTCTGAGTGAATCGGGTTCACTAGTGAGACCTCCCTGCTCCTCCTTTCTCTGCAGGATGCCAGGGATCAGGAGCCAGCCCGCACCAGGAGCAGCCCGCTCACTCCAATTCCCCCGGGGCCAGCGCCATGGGAGGACCAGGCCCGGGGGGAAGGCCTTGGGGGAGTCCTGGCCCACTCCCTCCCCTGCCTCAAGGGCCTGATCTTTCTGTCCAATTTCCTCTTCTCTCTGCTCAGCCTGCTGGCCCTGGCTGTCGGGCTCTGGGGCCTGGCGGTTAAGGGATCTCTGAGGACTAGATGGGGGGGCCCCCTGCCTGCAGACCCAATGCTGGGGCTGGTGCTGGGCGGGCTGGCGGTCAGCGTGGTGAGCTTGGCGGGCTGCCTGGGTGCCCTCTGCGAGAACACCTTTCTGCTGCGCTGCTTCTCTGGGGGCGTCCTTGCCTTTCTGGTGCTGGAGGCCATGGCCGGGGCCCTGCTGGTGGCCCTCTGGGGCCGGCTGCAGGATGGCCTGGAGCACATCCTGCGTGTGGCCATCACCCACTACCAGGACAGCCCCGACCTGTGCTTCCTCATCGACCAAGTCCAGCTGGGGCTGCAGTGCTGCGGGGCGGCCTCCTACCAGGACTGGCAGCGCAACCTGTGAGTCCTGGGGCCCGGGGTGAGGCGGCCAGCCCCGCGGTGGCCGGCAGGCTCTCTGGGGCTGGAGGGGAGGCGGGCCACACACACCCCTGCACGCGCACACTCACTGGTACACACACTCACCTGTGTGCGCACACTCAGGGGCACACACTTGCACGTGTACACACCTGGTGGTCAGGCAGCGGTCTCAACAGAGAAGCTCAGCCAGCAGACGTAGAAAGTCGCTCTGGGTGGGGTTGGTTCGGTAAGGACATTGTACAAGACGCCTCAGTGTCAAGTGAAAATACGTATAGGTTAATTCAGACACCGTCCTGAACTATGACGTCACCGTTCTCCCTCCACTGTGTACGTGTGTGCATGTGTGTACACGTGCGTGCGTGTGTACGTATACGTGTGTGCGGTGTGTGTCTGTACGTGTTGTATGTTTCTGTACATGTGTGTTTAGGATCACAGGGAGACTCTTGAAAACCAGCCATTTGTCCCCAGTGGTCCAAGAGACGTGCTGGCCCTTCCTTCCATGCACCAAGCACTGTAGGAGCTTGTTCTCATTTGGTGGCCGCGGGGGACTTGGGCCGGTGGCAGCTCCTCTGGGGCCGTGATGCCGCCCAGCCTACTGGCCTCTGAGCCCCTGCTGTAGGGAGGCCCACCCTTCCAGGAGATGAGGCTGCGCGAGGGAGGGCGAGGGGAAAGCCTGCAGGTCGCAGGGCCCTGGGCACCAAAGGCCAGGGGCGCCTGGGGGCTCCCTGAGGTGGGTGACAAGAGCAGCACTCCCTCGAGGTCCTGTGAGCCCCTCCCAAGCCTCCTGCCTCCTGTCGCTGCCCAGCGCTGCCCCTCACTCCCCACCACGACACGCTGACCCTACCAAAGCCTCTGCCACTTTCTCCCACTCCAGCCCTGCTGCTCAGGCCAACTCAGCAGCATCCGTGGGGCCGGGCCTTCCTACTTCCAGCCCCCATCAAATGCCTGCCGCCTTCCAGCGTCCCACGCAGTACGCCCCTTCTAGCCCAGAGGCGTGCGTACGTGTGTGTGTATGTATGTGTGTGTACACGCAGAGGGCTACTGGCGCTGGGATGAGCTGCGGAGAGCTGAGTGCTGTGTGTGTCTGTGTGTGCACAGGTGTGTGCACGTGTGCATGGGTGCCTGCGTGCCGGTGTGGAGTCATGCTGTGTGCGTCACACATGTGCGTGCACGTGTGCATGTGAGTGCGTGCACGGACAGCGTGTGTGCCCTGGGAGGTCTGAAGGCGGGTGGGAGATGTTTGGCACGGCACTGGGGTCCCAGGCCCACAGCCCTGCCCTCTGGACTGATGCCCCCTGGGCCCTGGCAGGCACTTTAACTGCAGCTCCCCTGGGGTCCAGGCCTGCAGCCTTCCTGCCTCCTGCTGCATTGACCCCTGGAAAGATGGAGCCTCCGTCAACGACCAGTGTGGTTTCGGGGCGCTGGGCCTGGACGAGGACGCGGCCCAGAGAGTGGTGTACCTGCAGGGCTGTGGCCCCCCACTCCGCCAGTGGCTGCGCAGCCACGTCTGGACCGCGGGCAAATATGCCATCGTGGTTGTGGTGGTCCAGGGGGCAGAGCTCCTGCTGGCCATCCAGCTGGTGTGGGCCCTGGCTGTCCACAAGGGGGCAGCTGGGAGGGCGGGCCCGCCCTCTGGACCCCCAGGCCCGGTACCCCACCCTCTGCCAAATGGGCCCCCGGCTGACTGGCGGATGGGACGAAAGACCAGGACACTGGAACGGGGTCTGGGGCTGCAGGCCTCCTTGCCCCTCTCGGGGAAGGTGTCAGAGTAAACTGCCTGGACACTAGGGGATGCCCTAGTGGACCCCCAGGCCTCCTCCACCTGCCGGCCCCAGCTCCCCAGGGTCCCCTTTCCCCTGCACTGCCTGCTCACTTGCAAGCGCTGCTGGGGTCTGAGGTCCGAGTGTAAGCCCCCGCCTGACGACTTCCTGGTCAGTGTTTGCCTTCCACACAGCGTGCCCGGCAAAGCCACCTGGCCAGCAAGGAGAACTGGGGGCGAGGGGGACTGGGTGAGATGCTGCCGCCTGACCCCCACTGCAGTCCTCGCTCCCCACCCTCACCCCTGATCACTTCCAGCCGCCTCGGAGTCCCACTCACAAGCCCAGCCCTCACCACAGCCCGGCACCTGCCTTCGCCCGAGGCAGCTCCCCTCTGCTGTCCACGGTGGTGGTCCGGGGCGAGGCCCAGGCTTCTCCTTCTAGTGTGTGTGTGTTGGGGGAGTGAGGTTTACTGAGACATGTTACTCATACAATAAACTGCACCAACCCGGAGCAGCAGCACGAGGCGTTCTCACCTGTCTGCACGCCTGCGGACCCACCACCAGGTCTAGATCCGGCCCCAGCAGGTCCTTTGGCCCCTCCCTCGGCCGCTGCTGCTCGGCCTTCATTGCCTTTGGCTACTACAGCTTTTTCTGGCCTTCACATAAACAAGATCCCAGAGGCCCCTGCGCAAGAGTCGCTCTGGTCACTGCTGTGTGAACAGACCCCTACGTCCAGGTGGACGTGCGCTTGGGCAGCTCCCAGAAGATGACTGCTGCTGGGGACAGTTTCACACAGGTGTGTGTGCAGGGCTGCCCGCCTTGCCTGGGTCCAGCCGTCACGGGCCCGGGCTCAGCGCCCCATGGTTTCCTCCCCTCTCGGCCGGCCAGGCCCCGCAGCCCCTGCCACTCTGCGCCTTCACCTGGCCACTCCTGCTGAAGAGACCCCACCCTCGGGCCCTGCCCCACCAGACAACAGCCCCAGACAGATCCGTGAGGAAGGAGGACACTAATTTTATTTGAACAAGGACAGCAAGCACGGGCTGAGCTGGGAAGGTCAAGCTTCCTGCTAGTGCGATGGGTCTGGAGGGGCCTCGCTCTCCCACTGATGCCCACAGGACTCCTGCCACCCACCTCCCGCCAAGCTGGCCCAAGGGCCTCAGCCGACAGGGTCAGTGGGGACAGCTTGTCCTCACCCCTAGATGGGCAGGACAGGGGCCAGGGTGTGGGAGACACTCCTGGGAGGCCCTGTCCTCACTTTCCCTTTCCACTGGGGGAGAAGGTCCGCGGAGCTAAGCAGGGCCTGGCCACCCCAAGAGGGCATCCTGTGTGGAGGGGGTGGGCTCCTGGGGCCTGAAGCCACCGCCCTGCGAGGGTCTCCAGACACAGGGTCATCTGGACACTGGATGCCCTGGGGGGCAGGCCTCTTTGCAGGAAGCAGGAGTCGGTCGGAGCGGGCAGCGGAGGGTAGGGGCCCAGGTCAGGATCCAGGGCTAGATGATCCCGTACTGGGCCAGCTCGTGCAGCTCCAGGTGATTGAAGGCTTCCCACGGGCAGATGACAGTGATGTCTGCAGGGTGAGGGGGCCAGTGGGTCCCGGGGTGTCCTCTGGTCTACTATCCCCTCGGGGCCTGCCGTCCCAGCGGTTAGAGTACAAGTCCCAGTGCAGAGCCCCCCTACCAGGACACACCAGCTGGGGGGGTGTTGGGGGGTGCCCTGCCCAGGAAGAGAGTGGGTGCAGCAGGCCAGGCGCGGGGGAAGGAAGGGGGCTCTTGCTGCTGGGGTGAAGGCACAGCAAGAGCTTTGTTCCTTCCCAGCCCCCAAGCATGTGGTGGACCCACTGAGTAGGAACCACCCGCTTCTGTGGTGTCTGAAGCTTGATGGGGAAGAAAAGGAAAGAGACTGGGGGCAGGATCCTATATGAGCCCCTGCCAGAGAGAGCAGGGCAGCGGGTGGTGGGGGGGACCTAGGCGGACCCCCGTGGCCATCATACCTGTTCCCAGGCCTTCCATTCCCGGGATGTCGTCCCCAAACCTGCAAGGACAGAGCAGTCAGGGACAGTGGCTGGGAAGGGAGCCGAGCGGGGCCTTGCGGGCACTTGAGTGCAGGCTCCCGACAACGTGGAGTGTCTGAGTGTGTCCTGGGTGTGTCCACGGGGGCCTGTGCCTGTGAGTGCGGGACGCAAGGTGGTCGGCGGGGCCACGGCTGAGTCTCCGGGTGGCAGTGGGTAGGTGTGCTTTCCAGACCCGTTGGCAGGAACAGCAAAGGGTCTCCTGTCCCGCGACCTCCGCCCAGAGACAGGCCCAGCTCAGGCCCCTGGGAACCGACCCCCACTCGGGAGGAGGAGACTGCCTTCAGCCAGGAGAGGATGGCTGAGCCCAGCCCGACCCGACCTGCAGCCAGCCGCGCTCCCTGCGGCGCGCCCCCCAGGCGCCCCGCCCACAGCCCTGCTTACCCTTGGACGCCTTTCTTGGGGGGCTTGCTCTTGAACTGCCTGGTTTGCCGCTGCTTAAATTTGGGAGGCCCTTTCCTGGGAGTGACGGGCCCCCCGATCACCCTGGTGGCCGACCGGATCTCGGCCTTGGGTGGCTCCAGGTTCATGGCCAGGTTGGCAGAGACGCCGCAGCGACCTTTGGCTTCTGGACTCCCTCACGCTGTGGGCTGCGTGCAGACCAGGCCAGGATCCCAGTCAGCCCTCCTGCTTCTGACCCACCAGAGCAGAGGAAGCCCTGAAACATGAGACCCCCTGACCCCCCGTAAGACCCCGGCCCTTGGGAGCCCCTGCCTTCTCCACGTGGGGCTCCACTTGGAGCCAGGCACAGGAGAGCATGCTGGGTGGCCCTCAGGTGCGCCCCTTCCCACAGTCTCCCCTTCTGCATCCCCCACCCCATCCCGGGGGTGGGGCACTAGGTCTCACCCCGTGCTAACAATAAGAGTGACTTGAGAGACCGGAGGGTGGGGAGCCTGGGCAGGGGAGGGGCCTGTGTCAGGATGCGGCTCACAGCCAAGCCGCCGGGTAACCAAGGCTACAGGAGCAGTGTCTTCCCTCTGCTGGTAAATTCCCACCCCCCGCCGCTCACTGTGCTCAGAGCTAGCTCTGGGTGCCAGTCACCTACTACTGTCCTTGCACCTGCCACACAGGGTGACCCCCCCCTGCTCCCCTAGAGCCTCTCCCCAGACGCCCTAAGCCCCAGTGACCCTTGCAGGGACAGCTCAGACTCCTCTAAGCCTATTAGCAGCAGAGGGAGACTAATCCCTCAGGGGCCACTGGGAGCCCAGAAGGTTCTAGGGCTACTTACATGACACGGACATGAGCTGCTGCCCCAGCACTGGACGCCCCAGGCGCCACCCCTTGGGTCCCCCTTTCTTGCCTGTGGTTTGTGGGCTGCAATGCCTGACTCCAGCCTTGGGCCACAGCCAGCTGCCCGCTGGAGCATCAGGGCTGAGACCAACCGGGAGGCCCCCATGGTCCTTTCCCCACTAAGGTTCAGCCTCTGTGCCAGGACCAACAGAAGCGGGGAGGAACCAGGGGTGGGGAGCTGGATCTGCACAGGTGTCCAAGGGGGATGGCAGCAGGCCTGGTGGTTCTGGCGGCTCAAAACCCATGACACCCACTCCTCGTAGCCCAGACAGTGCAGGCCCAGCTGGACCCCTTCCCCAGCCCCAGGCTATGGGCCTGGTATGGACAGTTCTGGGCCCTGATGAAGCTCCAACTATTAGATGCTGTCCCCATGGAAACCCATCCCCATGGAAACTGCTGCCTGACCTACCCCGGCCCAGGTCTCAGCCCACTCAAGTTGCTTGAGCGTGTGTGGCCCGAGGCTCCGAGACCATTGCTGGTCTGGGGGACAGCCTGCACCAGCACTGTTCGACATGCGGAACAGAGGAGGTGACAGGCTGGGCATCCTCTCTGAACAGGGCAGTAGCTGGACTCCCACAGAGCCTGACCTCAGAATGATGGAGAAAAGCCCGCCAGCTTCCCACCCACTGGGCAGAGGCCCTTGGGTAAGTGGCCGTCAGGACAGACAACCTGGGAAAGGCACTACTCACCAGGTACTGAGGCAGGTCTCGGGGGCCACAGGTGTGTGACAGGCTTCCCTCGGCAAGCTGCCGGCGGGGCATTTATCTCACTGCTGGGTAAGCTGATTAGGGCTGTGCCCTGACACCACACTAATGAGACTGTGGGGTGGGCACCCCCACAGAGGACTCCCTGAGACAGGGGGAGGGGCTCGAGCGAGGTCAAGGGCCTGAAGGAAGGACGAGCCAGGGACAGGGCCAGGGCAGGCAAGGGACACGGGATCACGGACAGACGAAGGAAAGAGCTCTCATCTCTGAGTGAAGACAAAACAGCACTGGCCGCTGTGCTGGACCTCCCCCTTTCAGTCCTGACTGCTGAGCGACTTGCCTTTGTGACCCCCAAAGCCCTGTATGGCCTCGTCCAATCCACTTCTTTGGCCTCACTTCTCATCCCTCCCTCTTGCTGTGCTCCAACAAGCCCCTTCCACCCCAGGGCCTTTGCACCTGCTGCTCCCACATGCTGCATTTTGTACACCTCTCCCCTTTCCTCTAGCTCCCTCCTCCTGGGACTTCAGAAATCTGCCCCAGCATCATATCCACGCAGAGTATCTTTTACAAATACATGACTTTGAGGAAAATACAGTAAACCTCTTCCTACAGCCCCAAGATAAACCACCTTTATGTTGCAGGTGCTTTCTGGGGCCCTAAGCACACCAAGCTTGGCTGTGCTTTTGTCTGTGGGGAAAACCTTTCCCTTCCTGGGTCATTTTCAGATCTGTTGGAGGATAGCAGATGCTCTGAATTTGGGTCTAACCAACTTATCACCAGAATCACATTTTTCAGAACCAACCAAAACTCTCCTTCTGGGTGACACCCACTAACTGGCCAAGGTGACAGCATATGCTGCTGGGTGTGTCTGTCCACAGGCATTAGCACAGTGGCACATCTTGTGGCCGTGTGGTTTCGTTCCCTTGTCCAAAGATCTGTCTCCGGGGGAAATGCTGGTTGTATATTGAAGGTCTCTACCTGGGAAGGCCTGTTTATCAGCTCAAATCCCTTGTGAAGTCATTTCCCTTAAATGGGAGGAAATAAAACAGGCATAAATTCCTTTAACCCCTACCTGTCCAGGAAACCAGTATCAGAGCTTGGAATTGTTGGGTGCCAGGGTGGGGGAGGCAGACGAAGTGGGAAAATTTCCATGGATGAAGGTGAGCAGGAGATGGGGTTGGGCAGTGAGGGCCCTAAGAAAAAGTCCTACTCTAACCAATGGTCCAAGTGGCCCAGTCAGCAGCCAAGAACCAGACCAGTCTGATGCTAGGAGGCTGGTTCCAGGGCTAACGCCTGAGGCCTCCCGGTCCCTTGGCCCCGGCCAACTGCCTTGGGAGCTGCTAAGTGGGTCAGAAGGGCCGGTGGGTGGGGAGGGACTGCCTGCAGCTGGATGAATGGGACACCTCCCAGGCTGTCTGCCAAGGGTTTGGCCAACGGCAACTTCACTGGACCAGATGGTCCTCCCTCTGCTGCACCACTGAGAGTAACCAGAGCTAACCTTTGGGCAGGACTGCTGGGATGCTGGGACATGGAAGGGGCCCCTGGGGTAACTGTCACATGAACAGTCAAGGAAATGGGTCCAGCTTCACCCTCACAGGTACCCAGTGGGCTGACGATGACTGTGTGCCTGCCTTCACCAATGAGGTGACACAAGCCCTACAGAGAACGACACGGAAGCCTCCTGTCTAGCCACCTCAGAGAACTTATTTACTCCCACGGAAAGTCCACAAACACTTCTTCCCGTTCCCGCACAAAGGGGCCGTGGAAAAAGGAGGCCGTGCTGCGTCCCCGGGAGGAGGCTGTCTGGGTGAGGGCTCAGCCTCCACTCCTCACGCGGAGCTGGATTTCCATCCGGATGAAGGCCTTGAGGTTCTCGTCAGCCACGTGCTCCTCCAGGGCGGCCAGGGCCCGCTTCCCGCCGTCCTGGTAGTGCTGCAGCAGCGCGTCTGCGTACTCCACCCACACACAGTTGGGGCAGCCACTCATGCAGCAGTTTGTGGGGGGCTGGAGCTCAGGCGGCGGTGGGTACCGGGGCTCGGAGGGGCCCCCGCCAGGCAGGGAGGACTTCGGCTGCCCAGTGTCGGCTGCACCTGCTTGGGAGCCCACCTCCGTATGGTCCTTCCCGAACTCTCTGGGGCCGTCATGCACTCCAATACTGTGAAGAATGCTGCCGCCCCTAGGCAGCCTTTGGCACCAGTCCCAGCTGGAGGGTGGCCCCTAAGGATGCAGATAAGCACATGAGTCTCCAGGAAGCTGGGGAGGCCCGGCCTGTCTCCAGCTCTCCAGCTCTGGGGAAGTTTCAGCCTCCTGACACTGGCAGGGGGCTCCATGGCCTTTTCTGCTCCCTCAGTTTCTGTGTGACTTTAGACTAGTTACTTCACCTTGAGACTCAGGTTCCCATCTGTAAAACGGAAGTGACTGTTGGTACAAGGTGATGTAGGATTCATGGGAAGCTCTGGGTTCGGGGCCTGGCACTGGGGGTGCACTCCTGCAGTTGCCTGGTGGGTGGAAGCCTAGGAGATCCAGCCCTCACAGCCACCTCTCTGGCCAGCCACTATGGCTGCACCCCTGCTCGCTAACCATCCTGACTAATCACATCACCCCTTCATCCCTGTTTCCCTCTGTAACAAGAGGAGCCCAGGCCCCTAGGTCATCCTCAAGGGCCCTGTGGGCAGCCCTTCCCAGTCTACCCAAGAAGGTCCCGTGGGCAGCCCTCTCCCCGCTCCAGCCCCGGTCCCCTTCCCTGCACTGTCTCCAGGGAACTGAACACTAGTTGACACAGCCCACACTTATTTCTCTAACTCCTCCTGTGAGGAGCGTCAGCTCCTTGTTCACTGCGGCTTCCCCAAAGGGCTCGCGCACAGCAGGCGCTCAACAGGTACTGCCGCACGAGAGGACAAGCTCAGAACCCGCCCGTACCACCCTGGCTCTGCCCAGCGGCCGAGCGCCCCTCCTGCACCCCAGGCGCGGACACAAAGGGCAGGGGGCGGTCCCTGCAGGCGGGCGGGACTACTCGGTCCCTGCGGGGCCCGGCCTCCCGAACGCAACCCGGGCCCCTGCCCTGCTCCTACTGGTACTTGCCGGGCCCCGCGCAGCAGCGGCCGCCGCCCGGCCTCCCAGGGACAAGCTCCGGAGCAGCATCGCCTGAGGCGCGGCCCAT